TGAGTTTTTTTCCTCTTACAAAGGGTTTTTATGTCTTTTCCTGTCCTAAAATGTCCTAAAACGCACGCCCAGCTGCATGAACCGCGAGTGTATCCCACGATTCGCTCGTAGGGTCCTTATTGTCATTGACTTCCTTTCATAGGGGGGTATTTGCTAATTGTTTTATCCGAGGGGTTTTTTTGCCAATTAGAGATTTCACAGGGGAGCCGAGTGCAAATACCCCGCTAAACATGTAAAACTTAAATTAGGAGATTGATTGAATTGCAATTTTCCCAAAAATTCAATAAAACCAGTCTTCTTCTCCGCCGCCTCTTCACAAAATCCGTCCCATACCACGGAGTTTGAACATTATTTTTTGTTCTTAATGAGACACAGAGGGAGAGGGCCTGGTGTGTGTGTATATATATATATATATATATATATATATATATATATATATATATATATATATATATATTTTATTTTATTTTATTTTTAATCCCAAATTTGTAGCACCAAAATTGGGTGATTACTACGAGGAGGCAATGATTGCACAAAAATACAGAGAGATTGTGTTCTTCAATTCTATTTGGAAATCAGAGATATCTTGGAGTTTCATGGCGGATAGGTGTGTTCTATTTGTGCAGAAGAAGAGTTTCTCTTCTTCGAAGAGAGAGAAAGGGGAGTGAAGAGAGATGATGGTGGCGGTTTGGGGGGCAGTTATGTCATTTTCATAAGCAAAAAGGGGTTATATGAGATAACCCCCTTATGCAATTCCCTTAGGTTTAAATTCATTTTTAAATTCACTATTAGGGATAACCCCCCACTTAGCATAATACCTCATTTATCCGTATATATTCATAAAAAATATTAAAAATTAATATCAATTAGATTAATATATGCAAACACCCACGTTCAGTTTTTTTCTTTCGATTTCCTTTATATAAAAATTGTTTTTTTTTATTTCTACTCTAAAAAAAATAGTTATTTATTTATTATTTTTAGTTTTTCAATTTTTTTTATTTGTTTATTATTTTTAATTTTCATTTTTTTAATATTATTTTTTTCCAGTTTATTCTTTTAATTATTTTTTTTGTATTATATTTTTTTCCCTTTACCAAATTGAAATACACTACACTTATCGAATTTCACTATAAATATTTCGAAATTTAATGAAATACTATAAAATTAACATAATCCGCACTATAAATATTTCAAAATTTAATGAAATACTATATAATTAACATAATCCACTATTTTACTGCCTGAATTTGAAATCCACTATTCACTTTATAAATTTGAAATCCACTATTCACTGTTTGAAATCTACTATTCACTGTCTGAATTTGAAATCCACTATTCACTTCGAAATCCACTATTTAATGTCGCGTGTGTATTCAAAAACCACTATCACCCCTCCTCTATTGCTCGCGCCTGCATCAGATATATTTTGTTTGAAATCCACTACAAATTCATCAAAAACACTACAAAAATATAGAAATTCATTACAAAAAATCCACTTTACAAAGAGAAAATCCACTAAAAACTTGCCTAAATCCACTACAAAAGTCCCCTTTAATAAACAATGTCATCGCATACAATAGTAGATTCACCCGGGCATCACCCAACCTCGTCTCACTTGTTGCCATCACTCCTTGTGCAAGAACCTGAATCAAAGAAAAAGAAGACAAACAACGTTTAAATTTAATTCATTCAAAACAAAATCGGTCTACAAAGCAAAAAATTTAAATCTACTACAATATCATCCAAGCCCACTACAAAAAATATCGAAATCCACCAAAATATTAGCATAATCCACTATGAAATTAACCTAATCACTACAAAACAATTACAAAAATATTAATGTAATCCACTACGAAATTAAACTAATTCACTACGACAAATCCCTTTTTTCAAAGACAAAATTGAGTTCAATTATATCGAAATTCACTAAAATAGTAACGTAAACCACTACGGAATTAACCTAATCCACTACAACAAATCACCTTTTCAAAGAAAAAAGTTAATTCAAAATAAGAATTACAATCTAATTACAATCAAATTATTATTTTTAGTTGAAAATCATGATTGTTCATAGTTCAAGTCAATATCTCCAAATTTGTGCGTTCCAATTGAATACGATATTAAATTATATTATTATTGAAAATTGTGCGTTCCAATTTATTGAATAAAAAAAGATTCAATTAAAATTGAAAGGCTCTGAAAATCAAGTAAAAAAATAGAACAAGAAATAATTAAAATTCTCTATACTTTTCAAATTATCCGTACATCTCGTCAATCCCATCGCAAAAAAAAACACAGGATCTTTCTGTGCCGTCTGGGAAGATGGAGATCTCTGATCTAGAGGATGAAGGAGCTGCGGCGCCTGATGTGGTGGATGACAAGGACGCAAGCGCAGTCGGTCCATCAAGGCGTTGATGATGGCGAAACAGTGGATGTTTTACGTCGATGAAGAAGGCCGAGATTTGGGGTGAATGTCTCACGTCGGCGAAGAGGACCGAGATTTGGAGGAAGAAATCGCTGCTATTGTTGAGGAAGAGAGGGGGGCGCTGATGTTGAAAGAAAAATAATCGTGAAACATCGTGTGGTAAGATTAGGGTAGATGTAATTAAATTATTATAATTTAATATTTTTTTTTTGAGAGAATATTATAATTTAATATTAAATTATAGGTTTTGTTAAATAGAAAATGGATCTATACAAGGAAATACTTAAGGGTATTATGGAGAGATCGTAATAAAAATAGTTAATAAATAAAATTTGGGATTTATCTCAAAAAGGGAAAACAAAATTGGGTCTACACTAACTATAAAAGTCATATGAGGGGGTTTTCTCAAATAATCCCAAGCAAAAATGAACAAACAATCACACAAGGAGCGAGTGTAACACACGTCTAGTACAAAGGGAGTTTTTTGCTTCCGAGAGGATTCTGACTTTATTTATATTACTGTCGTTGACAGTAAAATTACTGTAAACACAATAATATTACTGTCAACAACATCAATATTATTATTTTTTTGGGTTTTTTTTGTTTTGTTTGAGTTATTCACGGAGTAACGTAATAATTTCACTGTCTATTATTGTAATATTAATGTAAACACAATAATATTATTGTGGTTGACGGTAATATTACTGTTGTTATAGTAATATTGTTGTCAACCACATCAATATTATTATTTTGTTTGGAATTTTTTGTTTGTTTGAGTTATTCACGGAGTAACGTAATAATATTACTGTCTATTATTGTAATATTACTGTGGTTGACGGTAATATTACTGTTGTTATAGTAATATTACTGTCACTCACAATAATATTAATTCTCTTGGCTTTTTATTATGTTTACATTTGTTGAACGGTCAACATAGCAATATTACTCTATTACACAATAATAATGAGTTTTGTTGTGTTAATATTACTGTGTTAGAGATTAATATAGCAATATTATTGTGTTAAACTGTAATTTAGTTAATTTTACTGTGTTTAACAGTAATATAGTTAATATTACTGTCTATCACATAAATATTGCTATTTAAACGGAAAAAAAAAAGTTATAGAAAGAAAGAAAAGAAGAAAAAAAAATCAAAAAAGTTAACGCCGGAATCCGGCGGGAAAAAAAAAAATTTGAAAAAAAAAATTCGAAAAAAAGTTTTGGGTCAAAATTGAATAATTTGTGAAATTTGGGGTCAAATTGAAGTTAAATTAAGTTAAGGATGAAATTGGAGCATATTTAAGTATGAGGGGTTATTTTAGTTATTTACAAAAATTTGGACCATGTGTGGACTTATTGGTAAAGCAGTTTTTTGTCTATATCTCTTTATGAATAAGTACCCATTGATTGGCTTATTTGTAAAGACCCATTTATTTAATAGTGTCAGTCATGTGTTAAAAAAGAATTTTCTTGACAAAGATTTTCCTTATCACACAATTCCTTTTCCTTACGTAAGATTGAATATTAACCTAATGGGCTCTAATCTTTTGTAGGGCTCTTTTATTCAACCAAAGAAGTATAAATAGAGGAGCACCAGCGTGTTTTAATGTTGTCCTTTTTGTGAGAGAGAAAAATAATTTTCTGCTGCTCCTGATATTTGATCTTTTTGGAGAAGAGAAATATATTCAAATGTTTGCTTCTTTCACGTGAAAAGAAAATCGGTTTTTCGGGAGGAGAGCTTAGAAGATCTCGGGAGGAGGTCGATCCGCCGACTGAGGGATTCAGCGTTGAAGGGATTTCAACCGTGCGGAGCAAGGGAGGTGTTGCAAAGTGAAGATTGATAGTTCAGCGTAGTATACAAGAACGGCGTCGACAAACAGGGAGTCTTTGTATTCTGATTAAGTCCGATTATTCTATTCATAAAACTAAAAATTAGTAAATTTCATTTGCAGGTTGCGGTGGATGTAGGGTACAATTGTATCCAAGCCACTTTAAAATTTGTGTCTTTTTATTACTGTTTCATTAATTGTTGCAACTCTCCGTAAAACAGTATCTAAAACTGAATCTGGGATTTATCCGACACAAATATATATAATTAATTTGCACGAAATAATTATAACAATTGGCATCAAGAGTTTGTCACTAAATACATCTAGTGAGATTTTGGGAACTAATTACTCTTATTTTGTGCAGATATGAACACTCAATAAGAAGGAGCTTCAACTACTCGTCCACCTCTTCTAATCGGCTCCAACTACTCATACTGGAAATAAAAAATGAAGATGTTCATCAAATCCATAGATGAGAGAGCATGGCGTGCCATCATAACTGGTTGGACACCTCCAATGATCAAGGGAGAAGACAAAGTGGAAGTGATGAAACCAGAAGAAGATTGGAGTGATGGAGATATATTACTCGCAAACTACAACTCAAGGGCCTTAAACGCAATCTTTAGTGGTGTGGATGATAACCTGTTTAAACTGATAGCATCATGTGAATCTGCAAAAAGAGCTTGGGAAATTCTCCAAGTTACATAAGAAGGAACGTCACCTGTAAGGACATCCAAGCTACAGATGCTGGCCACCAAATTTGAAAATTTAAGGATGGAGGAAAATGAGACGATCATTGACTTCCATGCTAAACTATGCGATATCTCCAACGAATCATACGCACTCGGTGAACCTTACTCGGAGAGTAAACTAGTGAGAAAAGCAATGCGTTCATTACCTGAAAGATTTGCTTACCGAATTGCTGCTATTGAAGAAGTCAGAGATGTTGATACGCTCAAATTAGACGAACTCGTGGGGAAACTTCTAGCACAAGAACTCAATCATGGTGAAAATCATCGTGAAAAGCCTAGAGAAAAGAAGATAGCCTTTCAAGCAGAAACTTCATATGCAACTCTGCAAAATCTTTCAACTCAAGAAGATGAACAGACAGTTGAAGAATCGTTGGCTCTGCTGTCGAAAAACTTTGGGAAATTTCTCAAAAAGATCGGTAAAAAGGGAAATTCTCCCAACAGAGGGAAACCCCTGAACTTTCAAAATCCTAGGAGAAACTCAAATCAAGACAACTCAGAGGATTCAAAACCGAGAATAACACAATGCCGAGAATGCGAAGGCTTTGGTCACATTCAATCAGAATGCGCAAACACCCTAAAGAAGAAGAAAAAAATGCCACTTACTACTGTTTGGAGTGATGAAGAAGATTCTGATGGCAATCAAGGAAACAACGATCAGGTCACCAACTTTGTAGCATTCAGCAGCAAAGTTCCTCAGAGTAGCTCAGAATCAACTGTTGCAACAGTCGGTGAAACAGAATCCAGGCATGAAATTGTGTGTTCTGATAATGACAAAAACCTAAACACAGATTCTTCTTTTGCAGAGGATTCCGATAGCAACAGTGATGAGGAAGAACCAACCTTGGAAGAAGTAAAGGAGGTATACGAAAAAATTTACCAAAAATGGCTTGACGTTGTTAAGGTAAATGACTTCTTAGAAAATGAGAAGTTTGTGCTTATAGAGGAAAACAAGACACTAAAGGTAAGAATTTCTACTCTTAAAGAGAGAGTCATATCAAGTGATCAAGTGAAAAATAGTTTGGAGGCTAAACTTACTCAAACTCAAGAAGCAATTGCAAAATTGAACACGGTTAGAGGTAATTTAGACGAACTTCTAAATAACAATAAACCAAACTATAATCGTCTAGGCATAGGAGCAAGTCAGCTGCCCAAAGTTGATCTAAAACAAAAAGAAGATCAAAACAGAAAGATCAACTTTGTTAAACAAACTCCTGTCTCACAAACAGTTGCAACTGTTGGAGCAACGACGCTCCATTCAAAGAAAATGTTTATTTCTATTTGTTTTTTCTGTCAAAATCCAGGCCACATACGCCCTAGATGTTTCAAATATTAAAAACTTGTGAAAAACCCAAAAACAAAATTGATATTTCCAATAGGCCTCAGCAAAATATTTGGGTTGAAAAATCCACGTTTAAATGTTAATCTGCCATTACTTCCTTAAAATCAAGTATTGCTAAGGATTGATATTTTGACAGTGGCTGCTCACGACATATGACCGGTGTCAAAGAGTTTCTGAAAAATTACCAACAAATCACTAGTGAAGATGTTACCTTTGGAAACGGGAAAAAGAGTGAAGTACTAGGGAAATGATCGCTAAATCATGAGAATCTGCCAAATCTGAAGAATGTACTACTTGTAGAAGGACTCGCGTCAAATCTGATAAACATCAGCCAACTATGTGATCAAGATCTTGAAGTCAGATTCAACAAATTAGCATTTCGAGTCTTAGACAAAGATGAGAATTGTGTTATTCAAGGAACCAGATCATCTAACAACTGCTATATTCTAGTATCTACTGGTATGAACTGTTTCAACAGTTCGTCAGACTCTACAGTGCTATGGCAGAAAATGTTAGGACATGTGAACTTTGATAATCTGATAAAAATTTCTAGCAGTGAGTATGTGAGAGGTCTGCCCAAACTTACTAAAGAAGTAGGAAGAATATGTGGTGATTGCAAAATGGGTAAACATATCAAAAGTTCACACAGGGCTTTAGCTAATGTTAGAACCAGTAGAAACCTAGAACTTCAACACGTGGACCTTGTGGGACCAATGCAAGTAGAAAGTATAGGTGGAAAACGGTACATATTTGTGTGTGTAGATGATTTTTCCAAATTTACTTGGGTAGAATTTATTAGGAAAAAATCTGATTCTTTTGATGTGTTTAAAAATTTGTGCAAAAAGGTGAGTGTTGAAAAACAGCGTGACATTGAGAGAATTAGGAGCGATCATGGGAGAGAATTTGAAAATTCTTTATTTTCTAACTTTTGTGAAAATTTGGAATATCTCATGAATTCTCTGCACCTAAAACACCTCAACAAAATGGAGTGGTTGAACGCAAAAATCGCACTCTGCAAGAAATGGCCAGGGTCATGATGAACGCAAAGGAGATTGCTCCGCGATTTTGGG